GGGGGGGGGGGGGGGGGGGGGGGGGGGGGGGATGGGCACTGCTGGAATTGACTGATGCATTACGAGGTGTGATTTCCAACACGTGACTATTGACTTAAAACACTCTCTTCTCAGATCAAGCCGCCATGAATTTTACTCGTCATTCACACAACATTAATTATCACTTAACCTTCTTGCAGCATTTTGTTTAAGTGTTGGAAAGAGAAATCCTTCCTTGGGACAACTAGCAAAAGTTAGCTTCACTAGAACAGTGTCATCAGTTCATTCACGATACACCATTGCATTAGACTGCATCTTCACCCACGCCGGAGCGTACGGTCACCATCAATTCAAGTGAACCCATTTAATTACTTACTTGTCAGTCAAGTTTTCAATCCGCCATATTGTTTGAAGAAAGTAATAATTATACTGAACTCAGAATTGTTAATCTTGACAAAATAATAATCTTATGAAACCTTCCTTCAATCCAAAATTTGCGAATGACTATCTTTTTCACTGAAATTGCGATGTATAATTCCACAGCCTTACGTATTACACACGTTACGAAAAATTGTAAGAACAACTGGAAAGCAGTACCTGGTTAATTTTGGCCAGGCTGCATTTTTTCCAGCTCCCATCCATTAGAGTCAAATCAGTAAAATTTGTGTAATAAACACAATACAATTATAATTAAGGTTACTACAAATATTGAGATACTTCAGATGTACGAGAGTTCTCTCGCCTCGACTGAATGGAGTATTGTAAGTTAGAAAGTTAAAGAGAAAGACGTAGTTTATTTGCTCCTTGATATTCTAGCTGGACTATGTAGATCATGGTCAGATCATGGTTTTAGACAAATCTATTTGCCACTTTTATTATTCGGTATGATATAAAACTGCTGTCGAAATCTAAAAACAAAATTTTGATTTCCGACGATTTTTACATAGCCGCGCCATACAATATTAAACTGAAATAATGTCGTTTAACATTGAGTCTTTTTAACAGTGATCAAATGAAAAATCTCACCTGAGAGTGTTCTTGAGGCCGTCGATTAGTTCTTCTTCAAAAGACGTCAAGTGAAATTCGAAAATGGAAGATTTCACACATTTTACCGCCTGAAATCACTATGACGCCGTGCCTATCGCTGGCTGGAACGTTCATCGATCGATTTTCCATTAGCAAGCTATATAACCGTTAGTGGCCCTCTCCAATTTCATCCAGACAGTTTTAGGTTTCTAAGTAACCTTAGTAAATCCTTGAAATCCGTGTCACTTTTAATACTTACTAGCGCCTTTACATCACTTTTAGGTCGGAAAAGGGTTTCCTTTGTTGCAATATACCTTATTTATTGTTTCGTTTCACTTTATAATGCAACTGAGCACGTGAGCACTTTTTTAGGGGGCAGATTCAGGTTTAAAATCGGAAATTTTCAACCTCTTAATTTCTCATCATTTCTGATACGTTTACGTAGCCATGCTATGTTTTTAGCATTGTGGCCCAATATACTCTCAATTTTATGGGTATTTCTACAACCCAAAAGGTTTGCGTAGTTACTAACATATTATCTAACCACAATTCCAAAAATTCCAAAATTAGGCGACTCTCAAAAATAATTTTGGAGTAAATACTTCATTACTGGGTCGGGCCGATTTTCCGAGAACTTTCGTCTTTGCGGTGTTTGCCCCCCTGGCAGACAGCAGAGCTCATTTGCGTCATAAATAATATCAAAACCGTCTTGGCGGCTATCGGTGAAGATGGTCTATTAGCCACGTACTGGTACTCAACCTTTTAAAATAAGGCAATTATTGGTAGTATCTTGAAGAAATAAGGCTACCAGTCCTGGAAATAGACGACTTAGTTAAATCTAAATTTTCAAACCGGTGTCTCAAGCCCGGGGGTACTCCCTTAGATGGGCCTATATTTAAGCAATAGAGCACTTTTTCCGCGTATACATAGCCTCATCTAACGAAGAGGGTTGGGGAATTCGAGACAGTTATGCAAACCCGAGACGTAGTCGAGGGTTTTTATAACTTTCGAGAATTCTCCCAACCCTCCGAGTGTTTAGATGAGGCTATGCAAACACGGCTCTATTGCTTTTACAAAATAATTCTCAAAAGTACGCGCGAATCTAAAACGTCACAACTGTGCTTACATACTCTCATCTAAACACACCTATCGACCAATGAGAGCGCGTGTAGTAGCTCAGTTATTTCATAAAGTGATGTGGGGCCCAGAAGGGTATGGTTTTTCAGCCGTTTTGGTCATAACCAAGGTATGGTTCTTGTGCTCTAGGCTTGAATTGGGAATGTTTTTTAGAAGAAGCTACTTTTTCATCATTATCGATAGGACCTTCAATAAAAGCCCTTCATAAATTATACTAGGGCAACTGTGTGAGCCGCAACGGTCATAAATAGGGTATCAAATTTTTGGTCAAGTCATAAATAGGGTAGGGAAAATCGCATATTTTGGTCATAAATACGGTAAGGGTTTTGGGAAGCGGACCAAACACCCCCACCTGATT